TATTTGAAGATTTAGGGGTTTTAGTGTTTAGGTTTACTTTTATTTTTCATTGTGTGTTATGTATTTTTCTATCACCATTCTACATAATGAACACTGCCCAAAATATAAGACTCAAGATAGTTATGCCTGCATTTTTGCATCACTATTCAGTGTTTCAAGCACTACTTTATATTTTAACTTGTTTGTCTTTACTTTAACTGAGTCAGGCTGGATTGCGTGTACAAGAAGTCCGGCCCCTCATAGTTCTTTGTATTTCACTTAATAACCCCATGATGAAAAGACGTCAAATCCTTTAAATGCTGCCTCATTCCCTGAGTGACAGGGATGTTTGCCTGGAGTGAATCTTGCATCAAAAGCACGCTCTGCATTTCACCAATCCTATAATGGCCTATTTTCTGAAACAGGAAGCTACAGTTTGATGCTGAAAAGTGGACTTTCTTGGTGTCAAATTACGCCTCGGCTCGAAGAGTATTGTATTGGAAGAAGCTTTTAGAGCAGTAGAACAATGTTTAGTATGTGTCATTACTGTTATATGTTATTGGGGCTGTTTTAGCCAACAGTAAAGAGCCATACAAGAGTTACATTCTTTCTTTTGATCTGGGTTTTACAGTAATCACATGTTTAAAACTTACTACTGTCTAGGAGTTCATGGGTGTCGCAGGATTACGTCCTTGTCAGCCACCACACCTGGAGACCTAGGGTTTTGATTCTTGACAGTAGCTCTGTCCTTCAAACACACACAATTGTTAATGTTTGCATGGAAAGTTGCAGTAGCAACTGCTTCTGGTTTGGTCAGGGCAGCTGCAGTTCTTCTCCAGTAGCATGAATCTCATTTGTTTCACACCCCATATGAAGCTGGCATGTGAAGAGTAGCAAGCTGTACTGAATCACCACTGTTGTCACTGACTGAATCAGTAGCTTTTAGCAGTGGAGATCCCCTCACTGGTGACTGAGATCATTGTCAGCTGTGATCCACGAGTATGTTACTTCCTCATTAAAAGCTTCTTAAAAGGCCACAGAAGCCACAGAAACAATTATAATGTGATTACTGTTAAAAATAAGTGGTTTCTGAGCTATAACCTTACAAACAGGGCTTGTATGGGCTTTAGTTTGTATTAAACTGAACATATCAGGTTGAACCAGTAACAGACTGAACATAGTACTGAAGGGAAGACAGCAGTATCAGTGCTGAGTGTCACAGAGGAATGAATCGCGATGCATTCACTTTCTAATGTACTTTTTGAAGTGTGTTTGACTGGTGATGCAATTGCATACCTTAGAGAAAAAGTGAATGGACGACACAGTCAGTGACAAAAGAATCTTTGTACTGAACTGAGGGAAACACCTCTACAGCAGACAGGTGCTCCTCTCCCAAGCTGTTGTGCTCTCACCATAGTGGACAAAAATGCAACTATTTATCAGAGCTAACTGCAAGCCTGTAATTGGTCAGCTTGGGCTTATTTGTGCTGTCTACTATGTTTCCAGAGCCAGTTGTTCTGTGTGAATGCTTCATGCAAGTTTCTAGATTTACGCATGCAGGGCTTAAGAGATTGTTCAGGCAATTCATTACTGCAATTTCAGCAATGCTGTAGAAATTATTTTAGGTGTAAGCATTCACACTGCATTTTCTACAGAACATGCACTGTCTAGTTAGCACTACAATCATCTATCTAGTGTTAGTGCTGGGAAATCCCACGCTGACCTCTGAATCAGTCCTCATGCTATAGCTATCAACAGCGAGAGCACCAGAGCAGCTCAACAAATCGGAATAAATGTGGCTTTAGTGTCTATCTGCAACACAGATACAATCCAAAGACATCAATCAAACTGTTGAAAAAATGATTGTGCAATATTTTGGTCACATGTGAACACCCCTTTCCTGCCCTGTGAAGGCGGTGCGTTATGTTTGATGTTGGTGGGAATCTGTATTTCTCTCCCTTCTCTGCCTCCCACAAACTTACAGGAATGTCTTTCCAACCTCTGGTCAAGCTCTCTGGCCAAGTATCATTAAACATATTTCTCCCGCAGCCGCATGAACAACTGTTAAGTGCACATGAACAACCCTGCAGTGCCGTAAACTGTTACGCTGTTAGCAGCGGAAAAGGATGAGGGGTGAAAAGTAGTATGAAAACAAACAGACGGCCACAAAGAGGCCCTATTACTCACGCAAACACTGAAGAGGAGAAAAAACTACATTAGGGGTGTGGTGGATAAGCCAGATTTAAAGTGGCATGGTGTATGTTTGGCTGAAGCAGTAAGAATTAATTGTGTGTGAATGTGTGCACATCTGTTTATTTCTAATATGGGTTAGGGTTAGTTATTTTAATTTTGGTCTGTCTGATGGTATGTTTTTGATATCCTGCACTGGCTGCACATGTAGCTCACATTTTTATGCTAATAGTGGTTGTCTGCGTGGGTCGCATTGTGTGTCAGGTCAGGTGTGACCTTTGTGTGGTGCAGGCGTGTGATTGTCAGGCTGTGCAGGTCTGGGTGTTTGTGTAAACACTGTCTGAGTTGTAGCTGAGGGGCGGGGAGGATCTCTGTGTCTGGGTTTCAGGAGGAGTGTTCAGGGGCCCCTTCCCTCCTTTAAGAAGTTGCGTGACAGGACTGCATGGACGGGTTGGGAGAGGCCATATCCTGGGATTTTCCTGTAGTGGCCGTCCAGATAAGGGAAGCGCTCTTGTCGGCTATTGCTTACAAAACCCCCCCAGGGGCAGATGCAAGAGGGCTGAGTGTGTTTGTGTGTGTTATTTTTTCTGTGTATGTGTAACGTGTGTGCAGATATACAGGCTGCCAGATCAGTTCTCCAGCAATGAGAAAACCTGTCTTCTGGCAAGGGACCAACGATTGCAGCTCGACTCAAGCCAGATAGCTAGCTTCACTTTTTTTCATGCTGCACACTCATGATCTAACATGTTGATTATTTATAGATTCATAAAAGAGTGTTGTCCACAGTGCAGCCACAGGGATGTAAAAATGTGGTCTGCGTAGCAAAAGCAATCACACACAAAGATTACAGTATGCCATAAAGTATATCATTTAGTGCAGATTTACATTTTAAAATATAGAATAAGAATTAGGATAAATCTTAAATTGATCAAGCTTCTGATAACCAGTTGTCAGAATGTAACAGGAAGTGCTGCCACAGCCATGTAAGAATGCCGTTCTCGCTTGCTGTGTGTTAGCTACGGCTAACTTATACTTTTATTTGCATATCTTTGCATCGTATTCAGGCTTTTAGCTTGCAGCAGCAGCAGCAGCACGTTCAACTGTTTCAAAATAAAAATGCTAAATGATTCCCATGTGAACCCATATTAGAACAATAGCATAACTCTTCTGAATTTGAGAGGCAATATAAACATGACATGACATGGTGGGCTGCCCAGAGTATAATGATGAACAGCGAGAAGGCTTTCAGCTGGGAGCCAACTGGCAGGAGACGCAAAGGTAAAGCCAAAACAAGCAGTGGGACCGAACAGGTATTGTACTTTGTGCAGGCTGTCATCCCATTTAGACATGCCAATATGTATTACAATGATGCAACTTCGGCCTACACTGGAAGTTTTTTCATCAGTTTGCAACAATGGTATCACATACACCTTCCTGAATAGAAACACAAGACAGAGGTTGCAGAGTTTTTGTGAAATGCCCTTACCTGGAAATCTCTAAACTGGTTTTGTTTTCTCAAGAGCTCAAATGAGAGCCAGTGGTGTTCTTTTACCTCTGGTTCTTTAAGTCACAGGACCTCTGATATGGTACGGATGAAGGTGGGGATCACAGCTGAGTGTTATTGCCCTTAGCGAATAAACGTGTTGTGCTCATCAAAAACTTAAACATGCCGAGGCAAATGACACAAATCAAGTTCTCAGCCAGTCAGTCTACAGTGAAATGAATTCTGATATGACTGTTGACCTGGATCTGATTTGGACCACACATTAAAATGGCCTAAATCAGAACTGAAAAGATCAGACTCAATGGGCTGTTTACACTGTCATGAACAAATCAGATCTGAATCACCTGCAGTCTGAACACAGCCTAAGATGAACAGTAGAGGAGCTAAAAGGTGTTTTCCTTGAAAATGTTTTGAAATTACAGGAAGTCCCTTTGAACCAGGAGTTTTTAACAGTGTTGTAGAAATGAACTGTAGTGACCTGCTGACCATCCGATTCAACACAACTACAATAATAAACAGTAGCATTTTCCATTATATTATCAAGAGAATGTTATTGCTACAGTAAGGAATGCTGGACTGAACTGCAGCTTTGCGAACTGGCCTTTTTCCAACTCTCTAGAAAGAAAACTGACCTTGAAAAAAGAGACAATTCTAATGCTGTTCCATTCAAATATCTCCCTCTCCTTTGGGCTCTTCTAGGGAAGAACTATTAGGTCTTTTTGCTGTAGCTGTGGCCATCATTCTTATTGGTTATAAAACCTTTTACAGACTATCCAAGGTGATTAATGTGTATGGTAAGTAGTCCAGCAGAGCAGCAAGATAAGAAGAGAAACACAGCAGTTTAACTGTATTTTATAAACCAGATAATAGAGTTCAAGTGAAAGGCAACCTTCATTTTATTACCCAAACGTTCTGTTAAAGTATCAATTAGATTTTGTTTCACCTTTGACCTAGTGCACTTACCATACTTGTGTGCGCATGTAGTCTATTAGGTAATGAGGTCAAAATGAGGATTTGTGTACAGTCGGTCTGTAACACAACTCTATTGTGTTGAGGATTTAAGAGACTTGGTTCCAGTGCTGATGGAGCATTCCCAGATCTCAGCAATTATTGTATCTTGGTCAAAGAGATATATTAATGCAAAGGACGACCAACATATAGAAATTAAACATTTTCCTTCAGGGCGGTCTGGTGCCCCCCACTTAATCCTTTCATCAGTTTAATTCCTGATCATGTTTGTTGTCAGTCAGGCAAGTGGATTTTAGCTGAGGGATACACAGCATAACCTTGCTAACCTTGCTCTTCTGTTTTGTCACCTTCTGTGCAGCGACCATGAAGAACAGCAAAAGCAGTCTGATGTTTCCCGGACTGAACGGGCAGAACGGGGACAAGACGGGCGTTGCAGGCTTCTCTGAGGGGGATCTACTGCTCCAGGTACGAGACAAGTTAACCTTCGGGGGGAAAAGACCCATTCAGACACACTGCTTGTAAATGTATCTTAAAGGGTCATGTTTCGGTAACATGTTTCACTCATTGGTTAATTCATTTATTTATTGATCCATTCATTCATTCATTCATACTACAGAACAATAGAGCACGATATAATAGTGAAGTGACAGAGATATATAAAAACAATTGGATTATGTAACGGCAGTGCCAGAGATGAGATGGTAAGATTACTCAAGATTTGCCTTAAGCTGTGTTTTATGTTTAAAAGTTAGGTAATTATTTAATTAATTAATTACTCTCTTAATTCTTAATTCACTCCTTCATGTGGAAATCATATTTTCATATGGATATAAGGTAGTTGAAAATAAGCGGAAGCAAAGATCCTTTGTATTTTTTAGTGAAAAATATGTTAAAACATTTTTTTTAAAAAGTGTGCCAATCCCATGAGTCCAGCTATTCAAGTGACGCTACCTTTAATCCTTCCATACAAGAGAACCATGTATGACAGGTTGTTGTAAATGCATATTTGATCTAGTTATATAAAAGGCAGTGTTCACAGGCACTTCAGTCTGCCACTTGAGTTCTGTACACCCTTCCAGACAACAGTATTACACACAACTGCTAAATAAGATTAAACAAAATGAAAGTAAGTTGGTTTTTTTTCTCTCAATAACATTGAGTTATTTATGCTGCATTTGCATGGCACGATCACAGCAAACAAAGAGCACAAACTCACACAGAGCAGAGGCCGACTACCAGAGTAATAGATCAAAGCCGTTGCGTAAATAAAACACTTTCAATGAATGTTGCTTCTGCACATTGAAGAAAAAGTCCCACGGACTGATTGATAACTGAACAGCCTGAGGCTAGCAGGTGCACAGATGCACTGTCAGACTGTGTTTATGTGTGCGCTAGTCGTGTTGTGTCGAGCTAATCCAGGTCTATCCATTTAGGAGGAAGTTATGACAGGTGAGGCTGCTTGTCTTGGTGCCTCTTGCCAAAGCTCGGCCACGCTTTGTGGCTCTTAACAAAACCTGTGCTCGTCAAGTGCCCTGCACCATGTTTATTGATGCTCACCTGTCAGGGACATTTTCACACTTTGTTCTCTATAATGATCACAACAGGCGGTGATTAGGCAACACAAAGGGCCTTTGAGAAACAGCAGCTGTTGATGTTGCTTTGGATTATAAACAGGCAGCAGGATTTACAATTCAGTGTCCCCTGGAAAGCATGGCTTAAGCTAAAAAAAGATTTCATACATACAACGTCACATTAGCAACTTAGAGTAAAATCTTCTTAAATTTCAGCAGAACAGGATTTAATCTGTACTTGTTTTTGACGGTTAAAAACTGATGAAAGTTGAATAGTAAAAAGCTGCTTTCAAGCCAAACCTGTTTTTTCTGTGCGGATTCACAGCTAGAGGAAGCATATTCTGAGCTGTCCTTGCCACCAGGAGTCCTTGTTCACTGTAAACTCTGGTAGCAGTAAACATTACAACTTTGTGTAAAAATAAGTTGCAGATAGAAATCTTTTTACCACCCACTGTTCCACTCACAGATTTGCACTGTTTGCTCTCTTTAGCAGGTGTGCAGTGTGATTTTGTGTCCATTACAATTGCCATGTGAAGCTGATATGCATATGCCTCCTTTGTCTTGTGTGTCAGTAACATACCTGACCTGTATTCTTTACTGACTGTCTGTCCCCTGTGCAGGCGCTGAACGGGTTTGTGATAGTGGTCACGTCAGAGGGATCTGTGTTTTATGTCTCTCCCACAATCAAGGACTACCTGGGCTTTCATCAGGTGAGTAAAGTCATGTTAAATACAATATTCTTTTAGTGTCAAACACTCATCCTTTGGACACTTGAAGGTTTCTGAATTGATGTCAGTAGCTATTTCCATCAGCATATTTTAATGCAGCTTTTGATAAAAAAAATGTTTTATGTTAGCTTGAGGTGGGTTTATCCTTTATCCTTTTCCAAAAGAGAGCACTTGATGGGAGGTACAAGCACTTTTTCCAAATTTAACTCACACGACTGCTGAGCTGTTTCTGCTCTGACAGTCTCCTCATCGCTCCCATGGCTCTATAATACATCCATGATCGCTGCACACAGATCTAATTAAACCTTCCTCACATTAATACATGAAATAAACAGAAACGTCATATATCCATCCTGTTTTCTGCATTGTTTTGCGCCCTCTTCTTCTGGTTTTCCGACTGAAGAATTGGCGCCACCTACTGCTTATCTCGATGAACCAACTCCTTAACAAGACTGGATGGAAACAAGCATTAATTTGCATTTTCTTTTGCCCATTTATTCAAAATTTGGTTCAAATTTTAGTTAACAGAAGTGTTAAAGTGGTGGTGGAGAGGGCTGTCTAACATAAATTCATATCATTTGGATGTCAAACCATTCAGTGACCCAGCTCGTGTCCTGTAGGGAAGCGCATGCATCAGTTACAAAATGGCTGAATATATTGCCTTTGTCACTGTCAGAGGAGCCTGAATTGGTATACACCTCATGTCTAAGTGACGTGTTCTCTCCTCTGCCGACAGTCGGACGTGGTTCATCAGAGTGTGTTTGAGCTCATCCATACTGATGACAGGGCCATGTTCAAACAGCAGCTTCACTTTGCTCTAAACCCCCCAACGCCTGCCGACGGCACAGATGGTAAGGAGACTGTAAAGCATTCTTTTATTCAAACTCAATATAAATCAGTGGTTGGTGGTTCAGGTAAATGGTTCTGGTGTGTAATGTTTTATCTCTCCCTGCGTTCTCAGCCCTGCAGGGTTGTGGTAATGCAGTGACGTACAACCCTGAGCAGCTTCCCCCAGAGAACTCTTCCTTCCTGGAGAGGAGCTTTGTGTGTCGCTTCCGCTGCCTCCTGGACAACTCCTCTGGCTTTCTGGTTAGTATAGTATTTTTAGTGAAATTACATTGTAATGTGGCTTAATTACCTGAACATCATCTCCATTGGATTCATTGTGAAACTAACACACAACAAGCTATTGTGCCTTGATAAACTGTTTCAAAGCCCTTTAAAGTTACTCATCGCATTTTTTTTTTTAAACCAGGCTCTGAAGTTCCAGGGGCGACTGAAGTACCTCCATGGCCAGAGGGACAACGGGACATGTGACAAACTTCAGCTGGCTCTGTTCAGCATTGCTATGCCTGTCCAGCCTCCGGCCATTGTGGAGATCAGAGCTAAAATGCTCCTCTTTCAAAGCAAGCACAAGCTGGACTTCACACCCATGGGCATCGATAGCAGGTGCTACAAATTCTTCCATTCTTCTTATTTATTATTTTGGCACATGGACTTTTTTTAACAGGTGTGCAACAGGAACTTAATGTTTTGTCTTTTCTCTCTACAGGGGGAAGGTTATTCTGGGCTATTCAGAGGTTGAACTGTGTATGAAAGGCTCTGGCTACCAGTTTATCCATGCAGCTGATATGATGTACTGCGCCGACAACCACATCCGCAGTACGTTGGCAATTTGGACATGACTTTTACATTAAGTATTTATATTATCTGGCATATGATGGAGATGCAACAACCATCGACATATAAAAGATGGATGGCTAGACAGCCAAAACATCTCAAACGCTCCCTGGTGGCTGACTGCAGTATAGGTCATAAAGCCTCTGCCTCCATGGTACACATCAAACAAATTCTTCCCAAAAATGCCATTTGCCATAAATATTTTGCCATTTCAAAATAAAGAAAATAATTATAAAAGGAAAACAAGGTCCTGGGTTTACTTTTTTTTTGGATATTTGACAAAAACTGAGATCTCACTTAGTTTCCAGAGTGAAATATCTTACTAACTGCTGCCCAGATTGATGTTTTGAGTAACCCACTGAGCTTTACACGTAGTTTTCTGTTAGAGTAGAATTTCTGCTTGTAGTCAAGAAACATCTAAATCTGGGAAGAAATTTGCTCCTTCAAGTTTCCCCATCAGGATTTTAATGTCCCAGTGGCCTTTTTCTCCCTGATGCTATCCTCAATGAAAACATAATATTTTCAGTTCCACTTCTTGTAAAGCTCTAAGAACAGTACGTGACAGTATATGTAATGTGAAAACAAATACAAGGTTACCTTTTGGTAATAGTTAAAGCATCTCCTGATGAGCTCTCATTGTGTGTTGTTTGTGTCTTTTTATCACAGTGATTAAAACGGGAGAGAGCGGTCTGACTGTTTTCAGGCTCCTGAGTAAGTCGGGGGGTTGGGTGTGGGTGAAGGCCAACGCCAAGCTATTCTACAAAGATGGGAGACCTGAATTCATCATTGCATACCAGAGAGCTTTAGTGTGAGTGTTTGATCCTTTAATAACTTCTTTGTCAGTGGCTCTGTTGCTTATTACAATTATGACAGCAATGGCACACTGTCAGCCTGGACAGTTGCACAAAAACTATGACACCTCCTGGACAACGTCTCTTACTAATTCTAATAAAACTGCTGTCTGGTCTGTTTCAGAAACGCTGAGGGGGAGGAATACCTGCGTCAGAGGAGGCTGCAGCTTCCCTTTAGTTTGACCACAGGAGAGGCCGTCCTGTACAACACCGGCCCCACGGTGGACATCACAGAGTTTCAGTTCAACAAAATGTTTAGTAACAATGACGAACACCAGGATGTGACGCCTGGCTCTTTGCTGGACTGCTTCCTGAGACAGGACGAAACAGTCTACACCCAGCCAGTGGACCCTCCTTTGCCTGTGGATCAGGTGTTCAGGGACAGCCGGGCCCTGGTCAGCGTTCCCAGTGACACCTGGCAGGAAAACGGCCCTACGACAGCCACGACAAGTGCCCCTGCTATAGTGAAAGAGGAGGCCAAACAGTCAGTGATGACTGTAATCGACAACCTGGAGAAAATGGCTCAAAATAGCGACTTCTGTACGGTGCTGCAGAATCTGGACGTTGGTAATACAGAGCTGATGGAGTGGGAAAATACCCTGAAGAGATTGAGTCAGGAGGAGGGTCAGCAGAACAATGTCAGTTCTGAGCTGGACAGCATCCTCTCTAATGACATATTTGACTACATTGATAATGTTTTGTTCAAGGACAAGGGATCAGATTGTATGAACACCAGCCCCCCCAGCTGTGTTACAGCAGCCAACAATGACCAGCAGGACCCCTTCACTCAGGCTGTCCGGCTCTCAGCCACTGACCCACAGTTGTTTCAGACGCTGAGCCCTGATCCTCCTTACCCGCCAATGAATGGTATGTACGTTCACCAGCAGGATACAATGAATGGGCTGATGATTACAGGGCAAAGCTTAACAGACTCTGCTCAGATATTCAGCAGCACCCAGAAACTCTCCCACACTGACACCAACCTGCCCCCTCTTCAGCATCTGCAGCTGCAGGACATTTTCAGCCCATCTATAGAGCTCCCAGAGCTCACCCTCCCTGACGCCTCAGCTCATGCCTCGGCCCCTTTTCAATCCTGGGGGCAGCCATTGATCAGCCACATGGGCTGCCCTCAGGGGATTTCTGGACAGACACAGTCGGGCCAACGGCTGATGTGTCCACCAAACACTTTGCAAGCTCCTGCAATGGTAGCAAATGGACAGCTGCAGATTTCTGTTAAACAACCAAACAATGTAGCACCCAGCGTAGTAGACCTGTTGCCGCCCCTGATTCCTTGCAATGACTTTAATTCCTCTAACATTCCCATCCCCTTTGCCACAGCATGTCTGCAAGAAAGCCCCCCTTTGGAAACACATAACCACCAGGTCCAGCAGTGGCCACAGAGCCAGCCGCAGAAACTGCCACATGCTGGCATCATGCAGAACGGACATGAGCTGATGCCAGCATGCCACAGCCAGACTTCAGAAAGCCAAACATTCCCACGTGCTGGCCTTTGGCCAAGGAGTGTCACCGGACTGAACCACTCTCAGCAGGGAGGGCTGGCATGCGGCCAGGCAGTTACTCACAGCAGCTGCATGTTCAACCAGCACTTTTCTTCCGACCCGACAGGAGGTGATGTCCTGGCTCTCTCAGGGTCTTCGGGCATGAGGGGGGCTGAGATGTCTCTGGATCAGAGTCCCCCTCAAGGTTCCTGCTACTTCCAGTGGAGCCACAGCGAGCCTGTGGTGGGCACATCAGCCATCAACCAGGAAAACGCCAAAATCAGCCCTCTGTCCCACCTGGCATGTCCTCGTCAGGCCGCACATTCAGCATTCAGCACTACCTGAACTGCCACAGACAGACACAAGTAAACATGTCCCACTGTGGGCTAAATACCAGCAAGAAAGTTATAACAGGAAATTAAAAATGAAAGGAGAAAATTAATGAGAAATTATTATTATCAGGCCATAATTAAATGTATTTTAAATCTTATCCATTTTCTTTTTTTTCCCCAAATCAATCAGTTAATTGTTGATATAAAGTAACAAATGCCATTTGCTGTTTCCAAGGGCCTAAAGTGACATATTCAAATAGCTTGTTTTGTCAAACCTTTCAAAACCCAAAATATGTACTATTTACTGTGATATGAAACACAAAAAGTGGCACATTCTTTGAGAAGCTAGAATCACAAAATATTTTTGGATTATCAAAATAATGGGTTACTTGAAATTTTGGAAATTAAAAGCACACAGAAATTTTGAAAAGCCTGTCAGAGTAGAGCCGAGCCATATTCTGTTGCAACATATCCAGAAGGGCAAAACACATGTATAGTTTGCCAGTATCAGTGCCTATCACACACCCTCATACATACACTCACGTTTTATATCTCCCTGTATCATATATACGTCGTCCAGTCTGTAATGTTTAAAAACTGTTGCTTGTCAGTTTTTAGAGAAGATACACTATAATAATAATAATAATAATATTAATATTAATATTAATGAAGTATAAAGCCACAAGTGCGTTTACCAGAATGGAGCTTGAGCCAGCTAGGAGGATCGGTCAAGTAAATCCAAATAGCCAAAGAAATATGTTTTTATAAGGGAATCCAGACGTTGTGACTTCCTTGTTTTCAGCCAGGGACATTCATTTATTTCCCAAGTATACATACTTATAAATACACATAAAACAATGGAAAAAGGATGTTTATATATATATATATATATATATATATATATATATGTGTGTGTGTGTGTGTTATCACTCTAAACTTTAATGCTGGCAAAGTGGAGAGTTTTTCTGAAAACTGTAAAGAATCACTGAAAGTAATAGCTACCTGGAAACACAGCTGTGCCTTCAAATGAATATTATTACAGTATATTTTAGTGTGAAATCCTTAAATGTGGTTGATGTGTGTGTTGTATGTACTCATAGTATTTGTTTCAGCAGAAGGTCTGCTTCGGCTCGCTAAAGAAAAAAATCTCATATGTAGAGAATGCAGCTGCATGTGACTCGTGTTTATCTGTGTGCTGTATGAATGTGCTTTCATGGAGAATGTTTTCCACTTGCAGAGACATCTCAAATCCCACAATTTGAGACCAACTGTGTCAGAAATCAGCAGAGAAATTCACAATGAGGAAACATGGATTGGTTACATCTTGCAGTGGCTTTTGCCATGTGATGTGATGATATCGCCTGTGACCACCAGAATGCTGATGAATACAATGTGCAATCAACTGACCGCCTGAATCCACTATTAAACACATGGGCTTCTTCAAGCCTTTGAAATGGGTCTGCCCTGTCAGCCTGCATGTTGCACTGCTGTTGATGCACACTTCAAAAGGATGCAGTCCCTAAATCTGGATGCAGCAAATGAATAAAAATAGCCTCCATACCTACGGCTCTGCTGCATATTTTACCATTCATAGACCTTCAATCACAGAAGCAGCCCCCACCCAAATAAATTCTCTCATATTCTGTGATCCTGCACAGCAACGCCCTGATATATATATATATATATATGTTGCCTTATAAATGTTATTGTGCCTTCATGCTGAATAGGCAGCTGAAAAGTGTCTCCATATAAATATATCTGCCTTGTATAAAGCATCTGAAAGAATATTTTGCTCAGTTTTTCTAAGGCAATCCTTTGGAGCTGCACTACTTTAAGGGAAGCCATGTCCATAGGAGATACAGTATCCATTATAAGGCTTTATCCTTAAGTGCATTTCAAGGCTCTGAGGTATTTCTTTAAGCCTTTTTTCCTTTACACAACAACAACGGAAACAAGGGAAAACACTTCACTTCAGCGGTGACCTATCTCTGAAGAGATGGCAAGGTTTCTCTCATTGAACAGAATGGAACTGCACCGTGCAGAGGATTAACAATCCAGAATTTGGAGATTTGAACTGGTGTAACTGCATTCAGATCATATTTACTCTGCTGTGTCTGCTTCCTGTTTGTGCTCTTTAGTCCGTTTTGGCTCCTTTTTTTTTAATCTGATTGTGTAATAGCCACACTTTAAAAACAGCATTAATGGTTTGGATTGACATGAGCAGGAACAGCATTAACATGGCAGCTTTATCATATTCCTGCTACACTGTGGGAAATCACTCAGTATTTTACCTTTTCTTCAGAAGCTAATGTGTTATGTTTTTGGTAATACCTTTCAGTACAAAAATGGAAACAAAAATTAGCATTTTAAGTGGAATGTTAAACTGTCAGGGCACAGATTAATGCGGCCTCCTTTCCTGTCCTGGTTGCTCATTGTTCTGTTGTATGGAAAGAGCAGCCTCGCTCTTCCTCCTGTAGAGGATCGCAGTGTGAAGCAGGCTGTGGAGGCTAAGGACAGCCTATAAATCTGCTTTGATGTTGGGCTTTGATACAGACACGTCATGACTGTAGCCACGGTGGAAAAAAAACCTGGAGCCAAATGTTTTATTCACAGCGGTGTTGATGTTCTGAAGTTAACGTGCCTTGAAAGTTGCCATATTTCAGTTATTTGTAAAGAGAAAAAAAAAGAAAAAGAAAACTACTCAGTTTATGTAATCCACTTATATGTTGCCAAGTCATTATTGTATCTATATCAAACTATATGTTAAACAAATAACCACCCTTTGTCTACTCTTTAATGCTTTTTCATAAATACATGTGTGCAATGATTAAAATTGTGTTTGGCTCATTTCTTCAGACAACACTTTATTGAACCATGGAGGGATATTTGGTGACTGCTGGTAGCTGCTCTCTATCCTGTACTGTGCTCTATAGCAGTGGTTCCTAACCTGAGGGTCGGGACCCCCACTAGGGGTCGCCTAAGCTCCATGGGGCGTCGTGAGGCCTTCTTGATTTAAAGGCGTGTATGAAAACTTTAAAAATATACACAGTAGGCCTATATCTCAGCATTTGGTTCACTTCTGTGATGAAAATTGTGTAATCTAACAATGGCCAAGCATCAGGGACAAGAAAACAAAGAATTTGTGTAAAAAGCCTATTAAGTCTGTGTGATTGTTAAAAATGATACAAATATATAATAGACAGAATTGTAACAAAAATTCACTAAACAGGAAGTAATCTGTTCAATAATAATTGCAAACCTCTTGCAGTTACTGAGTTCACTGTTTGGGTTAATCGTACAGTTTTTAATGTAATATGAAATACCCATAAAATATGTCACTGAACCAGGGGTCAGTTTATTTAATGATAGAAAAAGACTCCCCCTTGGGGAAAAAGTTTGGGAACCACTTCTCTATATATCCCCCCCGCCCCCCCAACCACCACCACCAAAAAAAGTATATTTTCCACATTAAAATCTGGAAAAATATAATTCTTAAAAACTGGACCTCCTGCTTGTTTCCTCCCTCATGTCTGCTTGTGTCTTGTTATGAGGTGTCCATTACAGATGAAGTGGTCTGGTCACAAACCATTCATTCATTCCAATCACAGAAGAGCAGTGTTAAAATGCTATGCATTCTTTCATTTTCTGTGTTAATATGCATTTGAAACAGCAGAGAAGCAAAGGCAAAGCAAATATGTGAGAAGCACATGAGCACACGGAGCCGGTGCCTTTACAACCTCTTACATAAATACAACATGTTCTGTTTCTGAACCTTGAGCTTGAGGAAATGGTGATTTTCCTATTTTCTGACATTTTATAGCTCAAGTGGTTCATTGAGGAAATAATGAGGAGATGAATTGATAATGAATGCCTGTGGGGACTAACAGCATCAGTGGCAGCTATAGCTGTTATTATTAAGCAACACATTTGAGATATGTGCAAGATGTAAATAATGAGGTTATCATTAAAGTGAGTGAGGATGTTCCTGTGATTCCTCCATCCTGCCTAGGATGTATACAAGAAATGAGGGAGGTGAGGGGGCACAATTAGCTAAACAATAAGCCCCCTAATATGTAGGAAGTGAAAGTAGTTGGAGAAGGAAAAAAGGTGGTAATGGAGAAGGGGAAACACCACACACACACACACACACACTGGTCATGTCTCGAAAGAAGGGAAGAAAGATTGTGAGATTTGTCCAGCAGAGGGCCCACTCTCCCTGTCCTCACTCTCTGGTGCTCTGTAAACCTGGTACTTAGGCCCCCAAGTCTTTGAATGAGTCTGAAGTTAGAAAATGCAGCCAATCAGCTCAAACATATGAAACTAATGCAAACAAAGCGATATTTTAAATCATGTAGCCTATAGGAAACTCATGCTAGTCTGAAATCCGACTGAACTGCAATTACCAGATATGGCAAAATGCTCCATTCAGTTTTGAACAAACATTGCAGCCACTCTGTATAAGACTTTATAAATGCATTACATTCATTATTAGGGTCCAAAACTATTTATTTATTTAGTATTAGTTAGGATTTCTTTTTTCTTCTGCCCTAAAATTATTTGGATTTCAGAAACTGTAATAGCTACAGTCCCTGACAAATCAGATTTTTCGCTACTTTTTTGAGCAATTGGATAGCACATCTGGATCAATCCGGTTAAAACTTGTTTTCGGATTTTTGATATTCCATATAGTTTTGAAATGATACATTGTTATAGCCTGTGTGTCTTTAAGCTTAATTTTACATATTTGGTTATAAATCAAAATTGTTCTCGAAGTGTTCTAGAATCACATTCAACTCATTGTATGAAGTTTGATGGGCAAAACGGGGAGTGGTTTATAAGAGTTAACTCTATATTTTCAGAAATATTGCAGTCAAAAAAATCATTTCACTTTCACAGAAGGTCCTAGAGAGTCTACTGGTCTACTGAATTGTTAAACCAGCAGTATATGATTTTTCCACATTATGTGGAAAGCCATATCTTCCCAGTGAATAGTGGAATAATCCATTGTTTTAAAATATTGGCAGCACTCAGTAGAGCTGAAGGTGAATAGAATGCAGGGGTACACAGTACTTCTGATCCAACCCCTCTCCCTCTCTCCCTGATCTGAGGGAAAATGTTTCCAAGTTCTACGCACGTGATGACAATAGGTTCGGGATCGACTGCACCTTGCCTGTAAAGTGAACGAGACCAGGCAGCAGCAGGAGAAGGAGGAGGTGACAAAAAGCTGCAGTCAAGTGGGACAGCTTCCAGCACCCTTCAAAGAATATACAGGAAGTCACAGAAATGTTTGCATCCTGTTAGATCTGTAGGCTTCCTGTGGTTTTTAGACCATGTTTGGATATATAAATAAGCTTTATTACTATTATCAACCACACAAGATCTGTTTGTTAACCTTCACTACACAACATGAGACATGAAGCAGCTACACTCTACAGTTAAATATTAAAATCACACAGAAAATTAGGAAAACATGGTGTTTGTCGTCAAAACTAAGAGCCAATCAGTGTTTCCCATCATGCCCTCTGTCTTGCAATTGGTGGAGAGCAACTGCGTCGCCTGGCTTTCAAAACTGCCTCGATCTCGTGAGGTTATCGTTGCCCATATGTGCACGACCAGACACAATCTAACCAGCATGCATTGTGCTGCGATCTGCGCAGGCCTGGCTCATCTCGAACGAGCCTACTTCTGGGTAACTTTATTAAAGAGCACCTCAGTCACACCAAGTCAGGGTGCTGCCATTGTGCCTGTTGGCTCACTGGAAAGGGTCTGCTACACTGTAACGGAACCTTCATTAGTATCATTGATAACACCCATGTTTACCCTACTTATTTCATGTCAAAATGGCTGCTGTGAAAAAGGTCTATTGAATAATGCCTGGGAAGATGTAGCAGCTGTATTGTGGGCTAACAATATGTCTACATTACAAAGAGTAATGGGTACACAGTGGAGGTGTTCTCCATCCATACTGGGAAGAAGAGGGAACTGTGTGTTCCTTCCAGTCTGAGTGGACTCCTCGGCTGAGCGAACGGCTCCCCTGCAGGCCGACAGGACGACCTTGACTGGCAGACAGACCAAGAAGACCACAGCTCTCTTTCTTCCTCGTTCTCTTGGGCTCAGAGCATGAAAAAGGCATTTACAGCTGTGGCGTCCATCCCGTGAGACGCACAGTGTCCAAACAAACATAAAACCTTTCTTGTCCCCAACCCCCAGCTCCCGGAGGCACGAAGGGCAAGTGGCGGTACAGATTTCTGCAGTGGTGTGTAAACTAAAATATACACTTAAGCAAATGGGCTGGTCACCACACAATCAATTCAATGTCAAGAGGAACGCTGTGACTGTGTTTGAGGAGTAGAAGACGTTAACATGAATAAGTGTTTGCTGAATGTCTTTGTGTGTCTCTTGTGTCCTTAGACAATAATGCAGAAGCACCTGGATGAAGGTTGTTGTAAAGAGACCTTCAGCTGATAGTAGGTCCAACAGCTGCAACTGTAACTGTATCTGGATTTCCTGAAAAACAACATTATTTCTCCAGTGCATGCTGGTACATTGCAAACCCTGATAAGGCAGTTCAACTCACATTGTTTGAGGAAAGTGATTGCTTTAGACTGTTTGCCTTTATTGCCTCCAACAATTTAAGAATAAAAATATTTTATTTCACAAGGTCCAATGTGTAGGAATTAATGGCCTAACCCTCGCCGAAGTGTGTAGGAAAACTGATGGTGGCTGTGAAACTTACATTAAACGAGAAAGGCCCATGAGCCTTTAGTCCCGTGTTTCTGGGCTACTGTAGAAACATGGTGGCCTCCATGGAAGGAAATATGTCATCCTGAAAATGAGGAATGGTTTGCTTTACAAATGAAACAGTAAATTAATGGAGTCGACTACATACAACCTAACAGCATGTTGGCCTAGTTTTCTTTCTACATGTGTTGTGGGGGTCTCGGGCACCCTAAGGGGTCTGATCTGGCCATGTGATAATGTAAGCATTTCCATAGTTGAACATCAAGACCTATCTGTCTTTGTCTGCTGTCAAAACACAGTTATGTTAAACCTCTGCATCTCTGTTTCCACACAGTCTGACAAGATAGTGTACATATGATTTCCCAACACTGAGATCTAAATGCTGTTTCAGTGCCTTCTCCACACTGCCAGGAATTTCAAGGATTGTTGCAGCGAGCGTAGGGGAGGCAGCTCCCACGGTTCTCTAGAGATCCACCTTTGGTCCAATCTGTCTGACTGAACATGCATTTCTGTTCAGTTAGTTGAATATTTGAATTATGTTTGTGTGTCTTAATTGCGGTATAAAAAAGTCAGACTCAGACCATTTATTTAAATCAGAAAAGGTCTAACTGAAATAACCCTTTTTGCAGTCAAAAATAAAATGTGAAATGCATTGTTAATAGTCTTATACTATTAAAAGAAGGGAAAGGGTATTTCATCACAGGGACCTGTAGTCTATATTGTGCTGTATGTCATGGGCAGATCATGTGTACTATTGAAGAGTAAGGAACACAGCAACATATAAACCAGGGCTGTCCAAAGCGGGGCCTGCGGACCAAAGTTGGCCACCATAAGGTTCAATTTGGCCCACCAGATGTTTCTAACTATTTTTCATAATCTGAGCACGGCGAGCTGTCATGACTCAGGAAACTGAGCAGGCAGCAGGATGACTGCAGTGATTTGATATAAATTGAGCTTACAGGCAGGTGCAGCTACAGGTAGGCTGGCAAGCACATAGATAGGCAACCGCTCCAGGCAAAGAAAAAGCAAAAACCAACAGGAAAACAAATAGATGGTATGCCATCAACCTGCCAGGGACTGCAGATGAAAATGAGCTCATATGGCTAAATCTGGCACATTTACATAGTGGACTTAAGTCCTTGTGTTAATGAATGTGCATTGTCCCTTAAAGTAAACCAGGATGAACCGACTGTGCCTAAAATGGGTTGTACTTCAGATTTTTGTCCACATGAGTAAGCACTTACTTTTTATTGAGTACCACCACCTCTGGTGAGCATGGCCGTACCCTCCTCAGAGGTCACCAAGGTCTTGACTGCAGTATATTTTCCAAAAGGTATACAATTAAAGTCATTAAATAATTGCCTAAAAATAACTACTTTGATGCTTTGGTATATTCCCCTTTTGGACCTCACTAATTTTAAAACCCTGCAGCAATGTTTGTGAGGTACTGCGTAACTGCATCTCCGTCTAAACACAGCGAGCTTAACACGAAGAAAACAGCACTGAAAAATGAAAAAAAAAAAGAATTTTTAATCCTGCATCCTTTACACCCGTTTACTTTCTGGCGGTCCTCCTCAGTGAGATTTTACTGCTCTTTCTCTGCAAACAGCTGCAGGCTGCGGCTGAAAATGACATGAGAGCGGTGTGAGTGAACTAAAACAGTGAAGTGGAGGGCCGGGCAGCTGCACGGTGAGCTGGAACTCACTGTATGAGCAGCAGATTCAGGAGATTCATCACAGTGAGCAACCCCTCTGACTCTGCCACATTGTTTCTACTTTGTCATTTGATACATCATTATAAAAATATGAATTCTTTTTGCCACTCATGGTGGCTCCTGGCTGCAGGTCCCCCTCCACATGGCGAGCGGGGGGCCGTCCAGGGGCCGTCCAGGGGCCGGCACTGCAGGTGAAGCCCCACAGAGAGCTCTTGCTGAAACGAATTCAGTTACATTATTTAAAAGTCTAACCCCTGACCCACATTCAGCACGGGCCACTGCAGGCTCAACATAAACCTCCATCTCTCTCATCTCGAGCGCTGATTGGACGGCGGGACGCGCTCGGGAACGCGCCGCCGTGGACGCGCTTGGCCCGTGTTTCCAGGAGACTCTCCCACGCGCCCGCGCAGCGCCTCCTGCCCTCCCCGCGCTCAGAAGCTTCTTGAGGCGCGCGACCGTGACGAAAATCTGTGTCGGGCGTGCCCGCCAGTGGAATGCGCGCTCCCCCTCGCAGCTCGTGTCCGGCGCTAATTGGAGTGCACCGCTGATGTAGATTATAAAATGGAAATAGTTGGAGCTTTTACTGCGTTTAGTGGAACTTCTCTGGCTGTTTGTGAAGCGGAGGGAGGATGAGGAGGGTTTCTCTGCAGGCGGCTCTTCTCTGATAATCTCATCCTTCCTCCATGAGGACGCAAACTGTGCGTCGCCTTTTTGCTTGGAGCAAGTTCACCTCTCCGTGAGGCTGACGGGACAGCGAGGGGTTCCTTATTTTCCTGAGTGGTCCCTTTGGTTTCGGGGTCGGATCCGGAGACTCACCTGTGTTTGGGTTTTGTTGCAGATTCTGATTTGAAGTCCTGTAAGTGGAGCGGGCCCTAGAGACCGAGGCGCCCCGTCCGACCTCACTTATTTTGTTTGTTCGTTGGTTTTTGTTTTTTTTTTTCTATTTTTTCTTTATTTATTTATTTGAAATAATGTGTGTACAGTCTCGATCTGGAGGATTATAGCAGCATCTTGTCGGTGGCTTCCATGTAGCGGGGAGAGAGGCTGTGTGTGTTTCTGAGGGATCCATCAGAGGCTTATATAAGAAGAGCCGTCATGTATGCGGGACGAAAGAGGAGAAAACCCGTCCAGAGAGCGTGAGTTCATTTTATTCTTCTTATTTATTGCCAATACCATTTCTATTGGTTTTAAACAGCCATGTATTCCAATGTGAACTCGAGGCGTGGATTGTGTCTGATCCACCCACAGCTCCTGGATCCATCTGGACATTTCTAAACGCAGAATCCTTTCATATATATGTATGTTACTTACTGGGTAATACTTTACACTGTGTGAGGGAATATAGAGTGCAAAATGCGCCAGGAGTGTGTAATGTTGTTTAGGCTGCGCTAATGCCTGCGGATTATTGCAGGCCTGCAACTGCGGCCTGATTCTAACCTTCAACACCGACTTTGATTTTTTATTTAGAGATTACATTTTTGACATCATTTCGTAAAGAAACGAAAAGAAGATGCAATTCAACTTTGGTTTCATTTTTCGTTCTGTCCTTTAATGCCGCCGGCTGGCTCGGAGCCTCATTCAGGGTGTTGCGCCATTTTCTGTAAAAACGCCCTTCAGAGGGACAGAGGGACAGGGGGACAGGGGGTTTGTGGTCAGATTGTTTACATATTTAAAGTTGGGTCGTGTCTTATTAAAATCATGCGTTTATGAGGGTAAAGTCTGCCTATGAAAAAAATGTTTTGATAAAAGGCCTTCTCTGTTTTTATGAACCTGTTTTAAATCATCCTGACTAACATAAACGGATCTTGCGTTCAGTATAAACCTGTGAGTGAATCCTCAGCAGTGCTGATGAGAACATCACAATTAAAAATGAAAAAGTCTGAGCACTCACTGTTCTGTGACATCATAGTCAGCCAGCGTCACACTGACGCCATTTCCCTGCCAAATAATGTCACATTTAAATAAAACGCACACAGACATTGAATGAGACCTTTGATGTGATCACATGTGACTGACAGTGCACAGTAAGAGTCAGCCAGCTGCTGCTAGAGGACAGCACTATAGATCAGTATGATGAGCTGAGCCCTTGCTTTACTCATGCAGTCCTTCTTGAATCAACCTGTGAGTGGAACATGCTACAGGCAGATAGGCTTTGATCTGGGAGAATCTAATTCCTGAAAAGGAGACTCAGCGTCTGCACACGTAGGATAAATCCCCATAATCCTTTGTGATGAGACAGATTCATAACAGACTCAAACTGGAGGTGAGACACGTTTGATTGAGATACTGCTGTTGAACTCAGTGGGTCAGGTTTTCAGCTGAGGAGGCAGGGCAGGAACACACACACACACACACACACACACACACACACACACACACACACACACACACACACACACATAGATTTACTGCTTTTCTTACAGTGTTTCATATCATTAGAAATCAAGGTGTAATTTATTTATCCATAAAAATTGCAAAACTGCATATTTTATAATTATAGCTATTTTATATCATTTAATGACATTGTACTGAACAGGTGAAAAATATAATCAGGGACTTTTAGAATGAAAAAAATTGTTTTGTTTGCAGCAGTATAGCAGTATATGCAGGCACACACACACACACCAACACACACACACACACCAACACACACACACACACACAGCTAACACTGCAGGTCAAAACACTGACATCCCATTGTACATCAGTGTACAATATAAACAGACCCACGTCCATATTCATATCCAGTGACTCTGTGTATGTGTGTGTGTGTGTGTTTAGTGGTAGGTTTGTGTAAAAATAAATCCAATGTATTAATGATTTCTGTTAAATGTTTTTATAATACATAAACAGAAACTTTATATCTATATTAAAGTGTCAATTATATGAATATACCTTTACTTAATATGGTCATATTGTGACTGTTTATTCTCTTTATTATATCCAGTGTTGGGCAATAACTCATTACTAGTAATAATATTACAGTAATACTATTACTTTCCTCAGTAATTAGTAATGTAACTAATTACTAATACATGTCAGTAGTAACATTACAGTTACTCCCCAAAAAATAATTTGTTACACAAAATTGGATTTTAACCGTCGTAAGTGGGAATTTTGTGGGGAGTAGCAGAAAAGTAATGTAACAAGTAGTGTAACTAATAACTGTTTGCAGGGGGTAATACACAAAATTACTTTTGAAAAGAGTAATGAGTAATAAAAAATAAAAAAGTTTGATTAGCCCAACACTGATTATATAAAGCCATCAACACATAATCATCATAACGTAACATTTTATCAATGTGTGTGTGTTGCCATGAAAACACAGTCTGTATGGGTCAGTGGAGCCCAACCTCCTGAAACTCTGAGGTTTGAGCAGTTCTACCAAGGAGGGATTGAATTTCTCCTCCTCCTTTAAATACTACTAGAGCTTTGATTGGGCCCAAAAAGTCATACCTGACGCAACCCGAGCCCGAATTTCCACTTAGAATAAATAAATCATTTAAATAGTTTATTACAAGCTGAAGTAAACTGAATTGTGCATAAAATATAGTGCAAATTATTCTTTAAACTAATAAATAACCAATTCACTAATTTCTTACAGTTGCATGCATTATTAGTAAAATATTAAATACATATATATTTTTTAAATTACTTCTGTCTGAGCCCAACCTACGGCAGCAGTTTTGGGTTCGGGGAGAGAATCAAATCTTCACCTTTTTTGGTTAATTATTAAATTTACATTGAGTTTTCTAGCAGGGTCCCAGGCCCCAGTATAGTCCGAAATCTCTTTGTTGTAGATGATGACTCAATGGTCCGTGAGCTGAAAACTAATCAAGGCTGAAATATCTCAGAAACCAACCTGGGAAAATAGAATGAATTTAATTGAAATTGAATGTGCAAATACAGGATGCTCAAGAGAATAGTTGGATAGTATTTATCGAACAACAATAATGATTATAGGTGGGTTAGAAAAATGTAAATAAATAGCTAAGTAAGAAAAATACGGTTCACTCTCTAGTAGGGCTGCACAATTAATCGAAATATTATCGAAATCTCAATATGGACAAGTGCAATATGCAAATCACAGAAGCTGTAATTTTATGATGAACGTAAAATGTGTACCAAACAGAATTATAATGAAGTATATTTAATTATAATTATGTATAGTTAATGAAGTACTGTAGTGCTGCAGAGAGGCCCTGGCCTACAAACCTTGTTCTCCAGATTTAAGATTTGTTTGTTTGGTACAGACCCCAAATAATTTCACATCATCATTATTAGAATACTTTTTTTCAATGAAAATTAAATTTTGATGCAAAAATAATAATTCCCACCAACCGTGAATCATATCGCAATATCTGTCAAAATAATCGATTATCGAATTGATTTTTTTGTTAGTTTCTTCTTACCCAACAGATTGTGGAGATTGTACAGCCCCATGAGGCAAACTGGGATCTGCAATTTTATACAATATAAATAAATTTGACTTGACTGTGGGCCTCTACAGGAGACTCAGCTAAGATCAACATGCCACCAACTACAGCTGATGTTGGATAGCTCAAAATGCCACACAAACACACACAAACACACACACACACACACACACACACACACACACACACACACACACACACACACGCAAAAAAGAAAAGAAAAATAAATTAAATTTTCAATAATAATAATGATCAGAATAACAAAGTATGCAAAAAGTTTATTATAACTTTAAAATACCCTTCGGAACTTTGTTATAAAATGCTCAAATCCACCAAATGTTGTATAGTGGAATGGTTCCCAACCTGGAGGTCAGGGCCCCACTAGGGATCGTCAAAGCTTTGCGGGGGTTGGCGAGGCCTTCTTGATTTTAAGGTGTGCTAGAAAAAAATATACACAGTAGGCCTATATCTCAGCATTTGGTTCACTTCTGTGAAGAAAAATAAGTAAATTAATTGTCTAACAGAACAATGGCCAAACGTCAGGGACACGAAAACACTGAATTTGTCAAAAACAAAGCCGAGTAAGTCAATATGATTCGAAGAAAATAAAAAAATACATAATACAGACAGAGAATTGTATAAAATGTTCCCTAAACAGAAAATAATCTGCTCAGAATTCATCCAAATCACTCGTTTACACAATCTTCTTGCAGTTCCTGAGTTCACTGTTTGGGTTCATTGTACAGTTCTGAATGTAAAATTAAATATATACAAAATATGTCATTTAATCAGGGGTCGTCAGTTTACTAAATGATAGAAGAGGGGTCCCTTAAGGAAAAAAGGTTGGGAACCACGAGTAAAGTGGACAAATGTATTTGCTATAGTCCCACAATTGAATGTTTTAATCTCAAATATGGTTAGATAAGATGTTCCTTTATTGATCCAATACAATACAATATAAGAAAATTAAAATATAATTAAAACATATAATAAAAAGCTAGAATATAAAAAAAATTATACACACTATATACAATATTATAAAAGTGGAGTATGGTCCAGATTGATAACTGTACATGTCCAATGTTACAAGGTATTGTTCAAAACAAAATAACAGTTGTGCTTTGCAGTATATAATCCCACCAAACTGTTTTAATCACAAGGTCTGTTACTGCACCTCCAAAATATCCTCAGCTCAGTGGATACAAACTTTGACAGAAACAGAAGAACCCAAAGAGAGGTCATATGTTGGGGCCCTGCAGTAAGTGGGCTTTGAAGAACAGCTGACAATTTCATCGTGACCTATTTCTCCGTGTCTGACGTCTATCAGGGTGAAGCAGCAGCCGGCTGAAGGGGCTAAGTCCAACCCGTCCAAACGGCATCGGGACCGGTTGAACGGGGAGCTGGAGCGGTTGGCCAGCCTGCTGCCTTTCCCAGAGGAAGTCACCGCCAGTCTGGACAAACTCTCCATCCTCCGCCTGAGTGTCAGCTACCTGCGGGCCAAGAACTTCTTCTCTGGTAAATCTACTAGTCAGGAGGATAGATAGATAGATAGATAGATAGATAGATAGATAGATAGATAGATAGATAGATAGATAGATAGATAGATATAAATGTGACTGTTCTTAGTGTTACTAGTGGTGGTCAAAAGGTCACACACTCTGCTTTTGTTGTGTGGAATGCTGCTCATGTATCATCTAATATATTACTGTCTCTTTTGCGTAACGGTTACGCAGATAAATTGATCACATCCGTCACATAAACCTGTTTCCAGTTAGTGGGACCGTTATGGGAAATCCTCTTGTTTGGTATGAAACTCAGAGGAGATCAATATCACATTAATGAGCTCCTGCAGCACAGAGAGAGGTCTGCCACATGTTTAGCCTAAAATAGTTAGGAGGTCAGTTCTGGTCCAGTATGCAACTGGTACACTGTGATGTAGAAACTTGAAGCCACCAGTGCACATCCACTGAGAATGGACTTTACAGTGAAGTAGGAGACATCTTGTGTCCAAGAGAAAAACTTTAGAAATCAACATTTACATATTCAGAGATTCTGGAAGGTTTAATGAGGTAGAGTGAGGAGAGGACTGTTTAAGGATTTTAATGTGGAAATTATACTTTTTTGTGGAAAACACACATCGTTCGAAATGTTCTTTTTTGCCTTAATTCATGTCTCGAGGGGATCTTTAAAGTCCAGTCCTGGTAGAGCTTATTGGTTCTTCTCTGGAAGCAAGAAAACTTGGTTCATAATCATACTGACATCTGTAATATATAGTATGTAATGCCTGAAAATCTGAAACAACAAACAACAGGCCTGTCATGCGGTTCATCTGTCTAGACAGGCTGGTGCAGTAATAACTTTGTTTAAATTGTTTAAACAATCTTGTTTGTTTATCTAATTTTCCACAAGCCCAAGACTTTTATTCAGGTTGAAACAGCACGTTTAACAGCGTTTAAGGCCCGTCAGGTGGCCACGTAGGACAGGGAGGGCTGGACAGAGAGAATGTTTTGTAGACAAAGCCGGGATTGTGGGCAAAGGGCAAAAAGTTCTATATGACATAATATGAGCTCTGTCACACTAAAAAATCTTCATCACGGTTCCCACGTGTCCTGGAAAAGCTGGAAAAGCTGAACATTTAGAGACTAGTTTTCCAGTCATGGAAACACCTGGAAATTTAATAAAATGACCAAATAATTTGGAAATAATCTGTATTGTCCAGGAAATGTTTGTGCATTAGTCCCTCACTCAGATCGCTTATGTAAACCTAAATGCATATTTAGCAGATTTACCAGATGCAATGCAGTGACTTGCAGTGATCTTTTAGGCATTGAGTGTATTTTTTCCACAGCTGCAAGCATTTCTCATGTCTACATGCATACAGCAACTCATTTGTTGTTGTTGTGGTCAATAAATAAATAAATACATGCACAGGGATGTTAATTGTATGTGCAATGAACAATTTCACTTTCTAGAAGATGAATTCTACTTGATTTGAACTGTTACTTATGGGCTGTGGCTAAATGAATGCCCACACAATGCCCGAAACTGCAGCTTATATGACCGTTTGTAAGCAAGTGCTGTCCTGTACTGTCAAGAAAAACTCCTGGAAAATGTCCTGGAAAGGTCCTTTATTGTTAAATGCATTATCTTATCATATGAATAATAAACCCCAGGAACACCTTCCACTTTAATCCATTGTTTTTTCGAGTTGATACATGTTAATGTATCAAACATTTCGAGACTTTTTGGACTGAGTGTCGGATCGAAATGAGTCACTCTTTGACATCCTCGTTTGAGACGGTCGTTCCCTCTCATTCATTGGTTGATACCCTACGATAACAGCGAGTGGGCGGTTTGAGTAGGAAAGGTCCATACAGGACTTTAAAAAGAGTCACTGAAAAAGATTTGTTCTTTTATTTTTGCCGAACACTATCACTGAGGACAAAGTTGTTCAAAGATTGTTGTGTTTTTCTTCTTTGAGAAAGTTAAGCAGTTTTACATTCTCTGGTCTTTAGGCTAGCCTAGGCCTGGACTAATCTCTCAACTGAATGCACACGGATGAAATTAAAATTGATCAATATTCGCTTGGGTTAATTTGGCAAAGAAAGATTTCCCCAAATTTTCTTTTTAGCAATATTGATCCTTAAAATCCTCACTGCTTTTTAGCATCTTTTGGAGTGTTGAATTTAAACAGGAGGGAGCAGTTTTTGCTTTGGTCCCTGCAACCATTACGAGAATGTCACAACAGCCGAGTTGCTCGCTCTGTGTTTGTGCTGGATGTGTTTCCCTCAAGGCTCATCTCATCAACCAGAGACCACCATACCAAGAGAAGAGCAACCAGCCACCGCCTTATTCAGATGATTTCATCCGAGGGAAAGGCCCTCAATATTTCATTGAAACCCACGTCTGTGTGTGTGTGTGTGTGTGTGTGTGTGTGTGTGTGTGTGTGTGTGTGTGGACATCACTTATTTGCGGATTAGGAGATGGAGCTTCGCTTGGTGTCCATTAAAACTGTACGCCGAAGCATTGAAAAGAGTTGCATGCCAGTGGATGGATGCGTACGGTCTTCTCTACTATGCAGAGTGAAGACATTGTTATTTTAGGCGCCGATCTTTCAAAGAGAATGCTGCAATGCGGCCGTCGGATGCTCTTGAAGCATGAATAATTGAGAGGAACCCCGGAGTTTAAAGAATTTATGAAATGGAGGCAGAGCAGTGTTTGTTTAAGGCAGCGGCTTCTAGAGATGGCTGTTTGGGGTGAGACTGACAGGATACAGCGCCGCTGATATGACTGTTTCAGGCGGAGGGAGCAAATGCATTTCATATTTTTACTGTGTGTGTGCGGCTGCTTGGACAGGCATCGGATGCCCTGAAGACACAAAATGAAGCCCTGCACTGGCATCTGAAGCTGTTATTATTACCATTTCACAGCTATGAATAGAAGTCGTGTTTATTGTTTCCATTCAACAACATATGGAAGTTTTCGCTGCCTATTCGGCCTGTCATAGTGAATTATTGATAGTGGATTTTAGTACCAATAGGTCAAAGTGTAGCCTATAGACAAACCCTCTTGTCTAACTGCATTAGCCTACTTCCTGGACAGTCTCTAAGTAATTAACAAGCTCAGGGCTCTTACATTAAGGAGGCAGCATCACTGGGAGAAAGCGCCAGGGACCCCTGAGGGCCCATCGCTCCAGGCTGCCTCTGTGGTCAGCCATAAATTGTTGTTTGTAAACAGAGTGATGCCTGCTTGTCACAGCCATCCGATAGTGGGTGGTCTGTGGGGCGATGAGCTCCAGTACACTCTGGGAACGCTGCCACTGCTTCAACACTCTGCTCTGTTCGGATGTTTAGAAGCACTGTTAAACGCAGAGAGAGGCTCACCGACATAAAATATTCAAATGCATCAGAATTGCATTGTGCCGCGGAGACCTTTGGTTCCAGGATACTGTATCTCTCCTAAAAAAAAAAGTCATTTCGGTGAAGTTTATTGTCTGATCCAAACACTCACGGTCCGACTGTGCATGTAATTGAACATGTCGTAGGAGTTGAACAAAGCCCAGGCACAGCAAGGTTAATCTGGCTGACAGTATTATCCAGCCCTGCAGCTGCCATCTTTGTTATTGTGAGGAGCCACAATGGGCTCGTCCCTCACAGCCACTCTGCAGAGAGGGGCGTTAACTCTCTTAAAACCGATAACACCAGGATCACCCCACTCTGGGTGTGAGGCAGCTCTCAGCCATAAGAGCCATCTTCACAGCTGCTGTCTGCCTTTTGGATCATTTATGCTCCATGTGTGCACTGTGGCAGTTGATGGGTTAAATATGGAAATTTGTCTATGAATGATTCTGTGTCCCTGAAGGTGCTGTAGCCCCAGGTTGTAAGGCGACGGATGTGAAGCCATCACATTCTGCAAGATTTTCACTAGGGCAGCAACAAACAATTATTTTTCAAACATTTAATAATTTTCCTGATTAAATGGTTAGTTATTTGGTCCATAAAATGTCAGAAAATTGTGTTTCTCAAAGCCCAAACTGACGTCCTAAAATTTCTTGAAAAAAAGATTTTCAGTTTATTGTCATAGAGGACTGAAGAAACCAGAAAATATTCACATTTGAAAAGCTGAAATCAGACTCAAATGACTCAAAGTGATCAACTGATTATCAAAATAGTTGGCAATTAATTTAATAGTTGACAACTACTCAGTTAATAATCATTGCAGCTCTAATTTACACTCTGGGCTGAAAGCTTTACACCACATTACTGGTGGTTGTCTAACTTTTGTAACAGTTCTGCGCTGGCCACACGCAGTACCTCCAGCAGTGTCAGTACTGTCACACATAATGTGCTGTGGAGAATCAGTGATACGCTTATTAGTATTAGGCTGCTCTCTCCTCTATATCCCTGTACAAACCGCAGGATCTATTCATAAAAACACAATTCCTATATTAAGGTAATTATACACTTGTCTTGCATATTATATTTTATTTGTGCCATTAAATCCTCCTAAATGTTACACACTGGACCTTTAAGTTAACAGTAATATTTTTAAGAGTGTCTCCCCAGTTTGTTTTTATGTCATTTGGTGGAGGTAACGTGCCAAGGACTTCAGCAATATGTCAACAAAATATTTTAAACAATGTTTCCAAAAATCCCCTAAGCAACACAGCGTCCAATATTATCTCAAAACATGCCCTACAGTGTGCATGAGCGCATAGCCATTATGTTTTCTTTCAGTTGTTAGTTCCAGCAGATGAGCAGTGATCATTCTCCATAGTGGATTAGTCCTGTGGGGAAATTGTTACAGTGTTTACGATGGAGAAAACCCTGATAAGATCCTGGATGACACAACTAAGCCAATAAGGGCTCTCCTGGCTTTCCTGGAAGAGTCACCATTGCCCGCAGCCAAACGGCTTGATTGTCCCTTTTCCTGTCCCCCCTCATTCACACTTAATCCCTTCTGGTTCTCCTCTTGTTTTTCTGGAAAGGTTCTCTGAGTTTTAGAGGCAGGCTGCG